TTTTTTTTTTTTGTTTTTTTGTTGTTTGTTTGTCTGCGTATAGAGAGTGTGTAAATGTTATTTTATAATAAAAGTAAAAAAAACAACAAACAGCAGAAACGCATTAACTTACCTTTTCTAAGAACTCAAGCATCAGGCAAGCTAGCTAGCTAGCTAGCTACGGCTGCATCGCTAGCTAGCTAGGACTTCGTCGCTAGCTAGCTGCGACCTACTGGCTAGCTAGCTGCGACTTGGTGTCTAGCTAGCTGCGACCTACTGGCTAGCTAGCTGCGACCTACTGGCTAGCTAGCTGTAACTTGGTGGCTAGCTAGCTGCAACTTAGTGGCTAGCTAGCTGCAACCTGGTGGCTAGCTAGCTGTAACCTGGTGGCTAGCTAGCTGTGACGTGCAGAGAAAGCTGCCGATGCAGCAACAGGGAGTCTTTAAGGGCCGGAAAGAGAAGCAGCATAAACACAAAAGGAGACATAAAATAAAAAGTAAATGAAAGGTAGTGTGAACAGGCACCCAGAAAGCAGCAGCAGCAGCAGCAGCAGCAGCAGCAGCAGCAGCAGTAGCAGCAGGAGCAGCAATAGCAGTAGTAGTAGTGGTAAGAATGCCAACAACAGCAGCAGCAGCAACAATAACAGCAGCAGCAACAGCAGCAATACGACGGAGAAGAAACCCTCAGGCCAAAGTATATTCAACTTATGTAGGCCTAGCAGCAGCAGCAACAGCAGCAGCAGCAGCAACAGCAGCAGCAGCAGCAACAGCAGCAGAAGCAGCAGCAGCAGCAGCAGCAGCAAAAGCAGCAGCAGTAGCATCAACAGCAGCAGCAACAACAGTAGGATCAGGAAGCTGCGAAGCAAATGTAATGCGCATTCACTCTCTGCAGCAGCAGCAGCAACAGCAACAGCAGCAGCGGCAGCAGCGGTAGCAGCAGCAGCAGCTGCTGCTGCTGCTACTGCTGCGCAAGCCACATGAACATTGCCACAAAGAGCAGCAGCAGAAGCAGCAGCAGAAGCATTATCGTCAGTGGCAGCAGCACAAAGTGCAGCTGCAGCAGCAGCTGCAGCAGCAGCCGCAGCAGCAGCTGCAGCAGCAGCTATCGATACTATATACATAACATATATATTTACAAATATACTGGTTTCATTCGCCAGCTGGTTTAAATATAATTACTCTGTTGTTTAGAGTGAAGCGTGAAGGGAGCTCTGAGGTGTACATACACCCCAAGTGCTGCCGCAGCAGCAACAAACAAGTGAGCTGCTGCTGCTGCTGCTGCTGCTGCTGCTGCAGCGAGCAGCTAGCGTATATCTGTCTATAGAAGCAGCGTGCTCTGCATAATGCTTTATTTTAATTGAATTAAATTAAATTTTTTAGTTTTAATTAAAATAAAATAATTAATTTATTTTAGTTTTGTTTACTTCTGCGAGTGGATGGCAGAGCCGTCGCTGGCGGCCAGCAAGCCAGCCACAGGCCGGGAGCCACCGAGGAGAGAAAAGAGTTTTCAGTGGATAAAAATTTAAATAAATAAATAAATTTATTTTAATTTTTATATTTAAAAGTATTATTCAAAGATATAAGTGTAAAGAAGTACAGCAAA